TTTTTGCTATAGGGCGCGTGCGCTCGCCAGACAGACAGAGAGAGACATAGAGACAGAAAGCGAGAAATCACCCCCCAGGGGGGATGGTCACGCCACAATCTCTTCTCCTCTATTCTCCTCTTGGGATCTTGGGCACGCATGCACATGCGTCCAGTGTGAGTTTTAAGCCACTGAGTCCGGGATGCGAACCCCGTTCGACTACATGGGAGTCCAGCGATATAGCCATTACGCTGGTTCCCTAAACGTATTTTCTGAGACCAAGTCCAATTCCTATCATGTGAGCAAACGTCACTTTTATCTTTCAATCTCATGACCTAGTCATCAGGAAAACTAACCATAGAACAACATGACTCTCCCTACCTTCTCATCCTGCTCTTTGCTTGTCTACTCCTGAGAATTATGCATTCAATTATTCGGGGTGGGGGACATTTTGTGTAATTCTGTGAGTAAATTGGAAATAATGACCAATTGTTACATTAAACCTAAAGTTAGCACGTTATGTTGTACTACTTAAGATGATCCTTCTGAGGATGAAAAAAAAAAAAAGGATGAAAATGTAAAATTGAAAGTGTCAGTGGTTGACCACATAATCTAAATCTTCCAGTAAATATACTTTTTTCTACAAGAAATGTAGTTACTCTGAAAGCAGTTTGAACTTTTAATGTCATCGATGTACCACTAAGTATTTGAAATGTACTGAAACACAAAAAGTTACCCAAGAGGCTTGTGTTTTCCAGTTTCTCCAAAATACTTCGGGTATTTTTGATAAGCAAGTGAAACACTTGGAGGGTTTGACTCAGATATCCCAGATGAAACTTATGAGGCATCATTTTCTAGTCAGTAACTTAAATATGTTCACGTAAGTTTATTTATTCATGTGGTATCACTGAGATACAAATCAAAAAACATCCAGAACCCAGCCGTATCCATTTAATTGATGGCACATATCAAAGCTTGGCAAACTGAGCCCAGAGAACCAATCTGGCCTGTCATCTGCCTTTGTAAATAACGCTTCTTATAATGTGGCCATGTCCACTCATTTCTGTATTATTTGCAGCTGCTTTTATGCTATGGCAGCATAGTTGAGCAGTTGTGACAACAGATGATATGACCCACGAAGCCCTAAATAGTTGTCATCTAGTTCTTTATAAAGTTTGCTAACCATTGGTGTATTTTATTAGATACATTAGTAACAAACTTATTTATCACTATGGATATCATAGATTCCTTTCCTTTTAACAATCTCATAATCCAAAAATAAATGAAATACATTGAATTAGAACAAGCTACTAATCCCAAAAAACTTAAGAAAAGATTCAGTCTTCACACTCAATGTCTGTGACTGAATCTTCCCAGGAATTAATTTCTACTTCAAAAAACAGACACACACATCCAAAAAGTGTTCTTTTATTATTTCTAGTAACATATATTGCATAAATACTCTATTTTTATATGTACTTTTATAAAAGTGATAACTTAAACGTTTTTATCATTAGAAATAAAGGTATAAAAATAAATATGTTATTATAGGTATTAATCACAAACTATAGTCCTTCTTAGAAGGAATACACAAACCAATACTTATAAAGTACATAGAATTTATAGTAACATGTTTTACTATATACATATGGAAGAAGTCATATTCTCTCTCATGGTGGAAGAGCTGAACAGACATTCACCAGGATACGACTGTTGGACCAGCTGCTGGGGATGGACCTGCTACCCTCAGTAGCTTCTCCACCGTGAGATGAATGTTCTCTATGTCCCCAAACCTGTGGGACCCCATTCTACATACCCCATTCTTGTTCTGGCTTTATATCTCCTCTGTGTGACCTTACTTTGTTGAGACACAAGTGATTTTTTTCACATCCACCTTTTCAAAATAGGCTTACCTAAGGAGGGATGAAAGGCTGGAGGTACCAAGCTCACTGTGTCTTCTCTAGTTTTTACTGGCACCTTGCATTGTGATACTTTTTTGGTTTTGTTTTTGCCTTAGTAGACTCAATACACATTTATAACTACATGGGATTCTTTCTTCCTCAAAATGAATTATAAACAGACTGAGATGGTAAAAGAAGGTAAATATGGGGCTACTGGGGTCATTTCGGATGCTGAGCCTTCCTCTCATACCGAACAATCTCACCTTTTAACTCTTGATAGTAAGGGTAGATAAACATTCTCTGAAATAGTAGCAGCCTTCAGTGGTGCTAGACAAAGATTCTATTTGTGCTCCTTTCTCCCCACATTGCTAGTGAGGTAAAGTAAGCCAAGTTTTAAATGAAATTTCTTCCTCTTGCTTTTCATTTCCCAACCTCCATGATACAAAGTATTTAGTCAAAGTACCAGGAAACAGAGGTTGTAATATTTCTTACAGTTTTACAATCTCTTTTTTTTAATAGATGTAACAAAAGAAATAATAATAATGCCCTAGGGCTTTATTATGCTATATCATTGCTCAGAAGTTAATAATTCTTTTAACTACCCTATCCCATTTGCAACTGACAGGATATCTAATAATTAGCTCTTTTCCTACCTACCTCCACACGTCCCATCTCATCAACACGTCTCACTGGTGGCTGGTAAGATCCACTGGATCCTCCAGCCTTTCTGATTTCAGTGATCAACCTTCCACCCTTTGCCTGTTCCTCCACACTAACACTGCCTAACTGCATTCTGCCATCGTGCAAAAGTCTATGTAATGCTTAGGTTTCTTTAAAGGATCACAGCTCTCGTGAGACAACACCCCTCCATCGTGGGACAGACATTTCAAGGTTCTCTTTTTGTAACCCTTCCCACAAGTCTTGGAGCATGGAGACCAATCCCCCAGCTGCCAGTGGGGGCAAGGCAGGTCTGCGCATGGTCTGGTGCTAGCTGGTTTCACCTCCTTCGCACACTCTGAAGCGGGCTGCCCGTTGATGTCGCGGCATTCTACCAGTCTTCTCTGCCAACCTGATCCACATGACTTAGAGCATTCACCCCACTCTTCAATGACCCACTCTGAAAATGTAGGGATGGCATTGAAAGATTCCTTCTTCTTCTTCACAAAGTAGGTGTATTTAATTTTAGGTCGAAGGGCATTGCCCACGGTGAGAACCTGGATGGTTAAGGGCTCTTTGAGAGGGCTAAAGCTGCGAATTCTTTCCAACGCTGCCGAGGAGCCGCTGTACCGCAAGACTGTACCTTTGTAGGTAATGTCTTGCTCCAAAGTGGACAAAGTGAAGTCACCATTAAGGATATATGTGCCATTGGCAGCTTTGATGGCAAGAAAGCTGCCATTGTTTCTGGATCCCCTGTGATTCCTTTGTTTCACTTCGATGTTTGTGGCTCCCGCTGGGATTGTGACAATATCATGATATCCAGGTCTGTAGGCAAGAAAAGCAGAAATTCATCTCTCATTCATGGGCTAAGTAGCTTACTTAGCTTAAGAACATGTTAATAATTTTAATGTATTTTTTTTTTTTGCCCAGAGTTACATCTACTTTATAAAGTTTCTGAGGGTATGTGTTTTAAAACTTACTTTGCACTTGTAACCGAGCCTGATATTTTCTTGCATGTAGATCCATTTCCTCCACAAATACCACATTTATCAAACTTCTTTTTGGAATCTATGATGCGATCACAACCAGCTTTTACACACTGTCCTTGCACACAGACAGAGGTGGAATCTGGGCTACACGGAGTGCCATCTACAACCTGGGAACAAAAGTACACGTGTGTGGTGTAACACACCAGCGAGAAAGAAGATAATGCTATGAACGCTTCCCTCTGTTTTTCTGATCATACCAATTAACATAGCACTCTCTACGTGCTCTTCATTACTCTTCACTTTGACTTTATCTTTAATAGGACGTGTAGACATCTGAAAAAATCTACAAAGTTTTTGAGTATTTTTGTTTACTGGTGCATCTCTCCTGTAACTAAAGTCACTGAAACTGAACTCTTTATCAATTTGTTTGCTACTGTCGTCTTAGAGCCTAGAGTGATCTCTGCTAACAGCAGGTGCTTCACAAGTCATTTGGTGAATGCTGAGTCTGCAATTTGGGAATTTTTTTATAGCCTTCTGTACTAATGACCCATAATACTCTCAACCACATTAAATTCCATGTTCTACCTCAGAGCTAGAATTACCAGCAAAACAGCAAAAGAAGTGATGCTTCTCATAGTTCGGTATGTCTTCACACATAAGAATAATGAGTGCTCAGATCTCCATTTTAGTAAGTCTGTTTGCACATGCTAATTGCTGGTACCTAATAGCAAGTACTTTGGACCATGCCTAACCTATTTCTCCAAACCACTGGTTGCTGTGTTAATATATAATTTATGTAACCATGAGTGGTCTCTGAAACCTAGTTATACAGACAAGTGCTTGATTTTTTGAAGGGCTTTTCAAAGAAAACTATGGTCAATGAATACAGAAGAAAAGCTCAAAATTGAAACTCAATATATATATTGAGTTCGAAACATTAATATATAAAGAAAACATGTCAAAGATCACATAAAAAGGTAGCACCCAAGGCCTTGGTTCTCAGGCAAAAAGTTAGTATAAAAGTAACTACCTTAGGCTGTAAAACGAAGAAGTAGCCAATGCCTTTGGCTTGACAGATGAGCTTGCACCTGTCCTTTGGTGAGACGCCAGCATACTTGGGTGTCCACTCCACTGCAGGCCCACTCCCAAAAGAAGCTTTTGATAATTCATTATGTGCCTCACATTGTTCCTCTCTGAAGGTTTTTCCTGGGAAAAGAATGATATGAGGAGATGATCACTTTCCACCCTTCAACAGCTTGTCTGTGGGCACAGCTTTTGAACTCCATGTGTCCAAGTTGGAGTCTATCACTGCTCACCATTATTATCTGGACAGTCCTCAATGTTGCATGATCGGTAGCGCACTCGCTTGCCCTCGCAGTACTTCCCTCCGTTCTTTGGGACTGGGTTGTCACATTCCCTCATTGTGTACTGAACTCCTCCACCACAGGTTCTCGAACAGTCTCCCCAGGGACCCCATGGTCCCCAGCTTCCATGAACAGGGGTCTAAATGGGGGACACCAATCATCATTGTTAGAATTCTCTAAAAAGAACTTTTAGGAAATAAAAGAAAAACACATGGGGCAAAGAATCACTAAAATAAGCTATCTTGTATTAGTACCATAATCCATATAGGGGGATAGTTAACTTGGTATCAAACCTTTTGGTTTCATTTCATTCTTTTTTTAAATTCTAAATTTTAAAGGGATGTGAATGTGTTTCAGAACAAAAACTCACATCAAAATGGTTCTTGTCGGTCTTGTTCACACACTTGCCATTCACACACCATTTCCCTTCTCCACAGCTAGTGCCATCTGCCCAGGGAAAGTGTTTGGTTTGGCACACGAGCAACCCGCCAGAGGTGCCAGTGCACCACAAGGTGGTGCATGTGCTCGCTGCATCAGGGCAGTGCTTAGAGTCCTCCCCAAACGTAAACTGGCACTGCCGGTTGGCATCATACAAAGTACCAGGAAGATCAGACAGGAGCTGTATGGGGCTATGAGGTTTGTCCATCAAACACTCCCCTGCAAGAAAAGAAAGTCAAAAAACAATAACAAATAGTTAACAAAAGCATGCAGAGAGTAGCTCGTGGTTTCAGAAAATATTTTTCCAAGATAATACATAGCAAAGTGATTTGAAAACTCTAGGGAAAAATGCCAGAGAGATTTAAATTATGATTAAGATGTTATCCTCAATGGGGTATTTCTGTATTAACAATGACAGGAAATTATTGTTCTGCCAAAAAATGTGAATGAATGGACTTTGGGAGCAATTTAGCCAGAACCACTGTCTTTTATGGGGAAATAAGATCTGAGAAGTTATGATCCTCACAGTGGAAAGTAATGTTGAAGGAAATAAAATAAAAAGAACAAAAAATAAAAAGTTCCTCTAAGCAGAGCTCTGCAACATAGAAGGTTGGATGCAATCTGGAAAGGGTAGCTTGGGCAGTCTTACCGTGACCATTATCCAGAAAAGAAGTAATCATGTAGGCACTGCAGGGAGACCAGGGCTGGCTACGGTCCAAATTGGAAAGCATTGAGGCCATCATGTGGGAATCCTGGTTCACCCCGTTAAGGCTGGCACACTGCTTTGCGTCATCGTGAGGCATGTTGAACACGTGGCCTAGGAAGCAATCCAAAACCCACATTAAAATTTAGCTCATTTGAAGAATTTTTTTTTTCCTCAACAGGGATTCATCTATCTTAAAATGACAATTCTAGAGGACGAAATGTGTTTAGGAGACAATCTATTTTGGACAAAAATGTCTCCTCCTTGTAAGGTGTAAACAAACATGTAAATTCCCAAATGCCCATACCTTGCATTATATCATTGTTTATTCTAATAAAGACAACCATGTTTGTAGCAGTGAATAATTTTCCTATGTTTTCTAAGCTGCTCTGGTATTTAAAATAGTAGCATAACTTGGAGATTCTGTCCCTCTTAAATTAAGATAGTGTTGTACTGTCTTATCAGTTTGAATTCATGACTTGGATTTAACTCCTTCTCTGAAACAGACTTACCTAATTCATGAGCTGTGGTGAAGGCAGCTTGTAAACCATCATCTTCGATGACTGAGCAGCTCCGAGTGGGATCACACACAGTGCCAACATCAGCCATACCAAGAGTGTCACAGGTCTGAGCCCCACACAGGTCCTACCAGGAGCAAAGGCGTATATTCATTAAGGAGGAGAACAGACACCTTGGCATCTAACTCTGCAAGGTGTGTCTTCACATACGTTTTGGAGCATCTTTACCCCTTATTGTTAGAAGTAGAATCGTGAAACTCAAGATATTGGCATTACAGTAATAGAAATAAGTAAGCCAATTAAAACATTAACATGTAAAGGCATTGGTGCTCATATAGTGAACTTCAAATAAAGCATAGGCTAACGGAATGAAAATTTAAGTTGTTCTCCTGCAGAAACCTCCTGAAAGCCATAGTTTTCCCACAATATGCATTTTCCAAAAACATTTTGAAGTACCCTCCTAAACTTATCGTGGTACGACAACAGACTCCCAAGAGGGCGAGTTCGTAACTGAACCATCTGCTTCTCACCTGTCTGGTGAACAGAATCGCTGTGTCGTAATGCTCTGCGTCCCTGTCACTGGGTGGGTTGTGCTGCTTTTGCCAGTTGCAGAAATTCCGCAGTGTGAGGGCAGCATTGGAGGTCACTTCTGGCCCCTTTTGCTCCTCATAGATGACCAAAATCTTCACCACCACCAGGCTAATGGAATTCCGAATGCTGGGGTGTTTGTACAACCCCGCGGCCACCGAGAACAAGGTGAGAAGGTAATGCTTCAGACCACTGCCATGAAACTCTGCCATGGACTGGTCGGCCACCAGCATGGTTTCCACATAGCGGGGGCTGGACACAAATCGCTTCTTTCTTATGTTCCCAGTTCCTGTAAAGAAAACAGTTTGCTCAGGGGCAAGCCCTCCAAGAATAGTTACCTTCTGGGAGTATAAAAGGAAAGCCAAACCTGTCAAGGCAAATAAAACGAAAATACACCCAGAACAACAATAATAAAAATATTTGCACCTCTTCTCACCGAATATGTTATTTTTTAAAGCGGTCTCCTATGCCTTAAATAGAAAGCCCATGTGCTCCTCCCAGAGGTCAGGCTAGTCCTTGTGTGTGCTTGAGCAGGCAGGATTGCTTTTGTCCTCTTTGAAATTCTACATCTGAAGGAGGCATCCTACCCAGCTGTAGTAAAAACTTGGAGCAAGGGCAGCAGGCAGAGTGCCCTGAGTCACTCTCTCACAGGCCGGGACTCAAATCCTGAATGAGATCATCGGGCTCCACGTGGAAGGCCTGGGGCAGGGCTGGGGCTGTGGCCAAGGGGCCGGGCCTGAAGGAATCTCAGCCTGCAATGCTCTGTTCTTTCATTCCAGGGGTCCCTGGGGTGCTCTGCTCTTGCCAAATCCTGGCACGAGGACCACCCACTCTGCCCAGCAGTCTACTACCCCACGGAAATAAGTTCCCGCCTCGATTCGTGGTTGATTATTTGGAAGAGTCCCCCTCAGGGAAGTCCTAACCCGGGCTGTAACCTCTGTCACTTCTCCCAGAAGCAGACAAGCAGGGAGAAAGCAGACATTTCTAAAGGTCTAACGTGAGCATGTTAAGGAACAATAGCAACAAAAGGACCAAGATGATAAAGAAAAGTTAACTGGACTGTAAGCACCGTACACAACACATAGTCAGGAGATGGCGTAGCAGGAGGAAAGAGCGGTGACAAATGTTCAACAGTGCCTGAGAACAGAACTATGGCCGCGAGAGGGGAGAGGGAGACCAAAAGGAGGCGGTGCCGGAGGCCGCGGAGGCGGGGCAAGCCGCGCAAAGACCTCCCGGGCAGGTTCTGCAGAGGCCGGCGCCGTCAGTCAGTCGGGGTCAGCCCCTTATGGGGGGGCGGGGGGGAAGGGAGATAGAAGCCCATAGAACCAGGGCTCGTAGCTCAGCTGCGCGGATTCTCCGGCACCTTCTGAAGTAGGCATCCTGGCTCGCCCTCTCGATCCCCGCCCTCTGAGTGCAGGGTGCATGCTCAGCCGGCAGTTGCAAAACTCGGCGCGACGTTGCAACCCGGCCAAAGAGCACTCAAAATCGTTAAGAAGAGATTAGCGAGATGGAAAGTTAAGTCACACATGCTCACACTATTAAACTGGAAGGAGTCGGGTTAAAAACTCCTTTCCCTGTCGAAACGCTTTGCCTTAGTTTGCAGAAAACTGTTGGTCTGTGCTTTCTTGGTTATTCATTGTTCGGACGAATGGAACTAAGTTTCCAGCAGAATGTGATTAGCTCACTTTCCTGCACTGCAGGTCTCTATCCTGTCCAAAGACAGGCTCCTGCATAGAAGCAATAGTCTGCCCTCCGTCGCTCTGGATAAAGCGAGAGGAGGATGAATGGAGGTACTAGTGAGAGCGACTCGCCTACCTGTTGGCCAGCCGGTGCGTTGAGCCGTCCGGTTCTGGGACCTCCGCTGCGCCTCGTCATTCTCGCCCACGGGCTCTTCGTCGTCCACGACCCCACACTTGCCGCCGGCGCCCCGCACCCCCCGGCTCAAGAGATGGTACCGTGGCTGCGCCGGCTGCTCCTCCCCGCTGGCGGCGGGGTTCAGGCGCTCGGTGGCGGTGGCGGGCGCGGGCTGGATGAAGTACTCCTCGTCCAGCAGGTAGAAAGCGCCGCTCACGCCCTGGCAGAGGCTAAGGGCGGCGGCCGAGTTGGGGTCGCCATTCACCGTGCCGGAGTAGAAGCAGTGCGCTAAATCTCGGTCCGGGTCTAGACGCGGTGCATCGAGCCAGGGGTTGCGCCCCACAGTCTGGACCGTGAAGCCGGGCGCCAGGAAATCGCGGTCCGGCTGCAGCTCTAAGTGCAGCTGTCTGCCGAAGGCTTTCAGTAGGAGACGCGTGGTCCCCTGTCCCGGGACGCGCTCCAGGACTGGGAGCACCAGCTCCTCGTCGTGCTGGGCCGGGCGCCCGGGCCCCCCGGGCACGGCCAGTAGCGCTGCGGCCGTAGCGAGCAGCAGCACCGTGGGCGCGGACTGCGACCCTGGAAACCATGGCACCCGCTCCGCCTTCCGCATGCCGCCGCCTGGCATACACCTTCGGGATCCCTCTGGGACCGCTCGCTGCATCCGAGCTTCCGAGACTCCGCGCGCCTCAGCGCACGGAGCTGCAGAGCTTTTGTTCAAGTTGGAAATGCGGGGCCTCTCTGGCCTCGTTCTAGATTGTTAAAGTTAACAATTACTATTATTCTTTGAAAGCACGCACAGAGCCGGCGACAGCCGAAGCTCCAGGAGTCACTTAAGCTGCACTTCTAACTGCGTGGCTGCAGCGGAGCGCTCTGGAGCGCCTGTAGGGCCGGCCGGAATGAGAGGACCGGGGGCTGGGCCGCGGTGCCGCTCACTCTGAGCAGGGCTGTGCCCTCTCCACCCGGCTGCGCGCCTTGCTTTGCAAAGGCCCCAGGCTCAAAGTCGCTTCCCAGCGAGCGTAAGAATTGGGCTGCCCGGGCGGCTCTTTTATACTTTTAGGAGTACCTCCCGCCCCTCTTCCTCCTCCCTTTTGGCCGCCTTTCCATCCCCAAGACACCGCCCCCAGAGCGCAGGCCTAATAAACTGGGCTCGCAGTCGCCGGCCCAGGCGGGGGAGGGGGCAGCCTCCACTCTGGCTCCACTCCAAGCCAGTCAGTCTGGGGGCGGAAGACGCCGAAGGGGCGCTGTGACCAGCACTTTGTGCCGCTGGGGCGGCTGCGGGGAGAAGGTTCTTCTTTACAGGGCGCCTCTCCCCTGCTGTCCTCCTGGATCGCCTCCCTTCTGGAGGTCCGCAAGTGAAGGAACAGAGTTCCCGCGCTGAGCTGCAGTTCCTGGAAGGAGGGTCGGCGTGGAACGCTGAGTCCCTTCTGCAAGATTTGCGTGTTCTGGAACTGCCCCGAGCACCCCTCCCTCTTACAACTTTCCCTTCCCCAATTTGGTAGATAAGCCAGGACTGCCCTTTTTAGATAAGTGCTTCACTCCACCTCCCCAATCTCCCTCACGTGCCTCGAGAGTTTACTGCAGCGTGCGCCCTTATCCCCAACTTCTACTGGGGGAAGCTGTTTGTCCCTGCACACCGCCCTCCCCAAGCCTGCCTGAATGAGAGGGTAGGAGACATTTCTCAGGCTCTTTGGATTATAAAATACGCTTATGCTGACCTTCCCCTCACCAGCACTGCTGCCCTACGGCGTATTTGAGGCACCCGGGCTCACATTCCCGAAATGGGCAAACTGGACTGTGGTTCAATTCCCTACAGCCCAAGGAAGGAACTGCGCTTTCTCTTTACTCTAGGAAGAATCATCTCCTGCCCAGTCTGCGTACTGACACTTCACAGCAGCTGCAGGGCGTAGGCCGGACTGTCAGAGAGGTGGAAGGAACCCCACTTTCTTGCTCGGGGACCATTGGCTGCCGCTAGGGCTAGAAAGTGTGCAGTGGTGGAATGAGGAACCCGGCTTTCTTCCCGACGCCTTCCTCCTCTTCCTAGCAGGAAGGGACATGGCTGCATCCGCGTTACGAAAGCCTTGCCACCTCCAGGACTCTAAGAAAAAGCGAGGAGGCTCTTCTATCAAAAAAGAGGGAGGAGCTCAATGGCCCGGAGGAAGGAAATGTTTCACAATGCTTTCACAGGCGGAGAGCCACAGGAACAATAGTGAGAACGACTGTCCAAGTCCCGGGGCCGACCCGCGTTGGTTACACTCGCGCACTCCCACTTCCGCGCCTTGCCCGGCCTCCCGGCTCGCCGCGCCATCCCCATCCGGTCCCACCTAGGCTCCTAGAGGATCCGGGCCTTTTCTCGCTCCACCCTAGGTCCTCCCAAAGTTAGAGTGCCCCAGGCAGAAGCATCCCCTTTAGTCTAACTACAGTTTCCGATTCCAAACTCTTCTTTCGGGATACCTTCCAACATCGTTTCTCTCAGCGTTCTAGATTTGCCTACTTCAGAAACAAAACCATGAACTTTGCTTTCTCCTCTTCAGGAAAGATCAAATGTGCAAGAATGGCAGAGAGCAAACTGATTTGCTCTTGAAAGTGCTTACTAACAACTTTTGGTCCCTCTCATTGTTAAGCGTTGAATGATAAACCCAGGACTTCAATGTATTTTAACAGCAGTTTAAGGTCCCTATCTGCACTAGGAGCTTTCTCTTTTCTTGGCTCTTCCACTTGCCCACCATACAACATTTGATGCTGTGTTCTAGCCTTCCTCCCTTCACTCTCCTCCTCTGCAGCCTTTTCTCACCTATTCCATTTCTCCTTCAATATCGACTTCTCCTTAATATTGACGTCTGTACTTATGAGCGCTATCATTGGCTCCTATGTTGTCTGGTCTAACTCCTGCTTCAGCTGTGACCTCGAACACATCCCATCATCCTGTCTCGCTACTTTGCTTTCCAGGCATTTATTTGTATATTCCCCTCTTCCAATACAGTATGGTTTGTCCCTTCTTCTTCTTCTTCTTCTTCTTCTTCTTCTTCTTCTTCTTCTTCTTCTTCTTCTTCTTCTTCTTCTTCTTCTTCTTCTTCTTCATGATTTCATTTTATTTCATCCCATCACTTGTTTCTCCTTAGAAAACGAGATGATTGGGAGAGCATTTGAGGGAAGTCACGACGTTAGGAGATAGTGATCATGAAATCATGAACATGTGATGGCAAAGCCATCAATAAATTTTCAAACCTCTTGCTTAGAGGAAGGCTCAGAAAACAATGTGTAGTGAACAGCAGCTGCAGCCTCACACTGACTTCAAGGTGGAGCTCACAGACATTTGTGGTGGCCTGGGGATGGGAAGACTTAAGACCAGTGATGGTATATAGGATTCCTTTGAATTGGGGTAGGAAGGGAAAATTGAAGACCAGCAGAAAATGTGTAACAAAAAAATTATTGTGTAATGTGTTCGTGTGTCAATTCCTCTACATAAACATTAGTTTCTAAAATCTAGTAATGTAAGTTTGGCCTTTAGTCCTTTTCTGTCCCCGGTGTGTTTTTATTGGAAGTTTATTTAACTTAAGGTATACATTTCTAATGTTACAGGAGTTACTTCAAATCTCTCTATATTTTTTCACATTTCACGTTGTATATATCCAAATAGAGTCGAAAAAACTGAGTTAAAGGAAAAAAAATGGCTAGGAACATGGCTTTTCTATTCTCTGGATTTCTTTCCAGATTTCTGTTCTTTTGCATAATGACTCCAATCTGTTGTGCACCTGTAGTTCTGGGAAATGATTCTTTTTTAATCACTTCAACAGGGACATGAATGTAGGAGTTGCCAATTACTAAGCTGAAAAACTCCATCCATGCTCAGAAGAGCATTTAATCCACCTTTTTTTTTTAAGACCAACACTCTTTAGGCTTGTGATATTGTGCACATATACACGTATAATGCACATATACATGTAAACAAAATGTGAATTAAAAAAAAATTGAAGGTAGAAAGAAGACCGTAAGGTAAAATACATACATGGGAATTGAAAGAAAGTGATTTATAATATTGGTTCCTCATAGTAAGTTTCAAACTCCCATCCTTGTAAAATTTCTGTTCTCTGATTTGAACATGCACTCAGAGGATCCCATGCCATCTTTACTCCTATTCCACTTATTTCTGATTACCTTTTAATAATACACATAGGCCCATATAAACATTATTTTTATATGTTCCAATTTACATACTCAAAGCAACTTATGTTATTAGTAGAGATGACCTAATAAGAGGTAAAGCATTTGATATAAAACTGTTCTCACAAGTTTGAGTTTTAAAAAGCATCGTGAACTTCCTGAAAAAAGGGAAAATTTTGTGCATTTCTCAGTGAAATAAATAACAAGCATTAATTTCTATCAACACTCTAGTGTTTGTATTTGTTTGGAATGCTTTTTACTCATACTTTCATGCCATAGAATTTACCGGCTGGAAATGAGAAAGCTGTTTAGCATTAGTGCTGCTTTTGGAAGCATATGTTATAAAGTAATATTGGACAAATGGGTTTCTTATTTGATAATAAATAATAGTTAAAATATCTTTTGGAAGCATATTGTATGCTCAGAAATGTAGCAAATATTGAAGATAGAAAAATGACTGGCAATTGGACTTAAAATTGTAATGCCTCTCAAATCATGTACTTGCCAAATTGCGAGGAGTATTATCTGTCTAGTCTACTCTCTTTGTTTAATATTTGCAGAATTAAGTCTTGAGGGGATTTAAGTAACTTCCCAAGATTTCACAGCCTGAAGAAAATTAATGGCTAAAGAGTGACTCTGATTCATAAGTTTTAATCAAATGCCTCATAGCATTTTCATCTGTTTGTTTGGTAGGATGTTGTTGGACTTGTGGTCGCTGTTGTTTCCAATGATTACATTTTAGTTACATTTTTAAGTAGGAATTTTCTAACGAAAGATTTCCACCTTAACAGATTCACAACCACAGCACTTCTCTCCCTGCCCACGGGGTGGCGGCGGTCTACAAGAAATGATGTGCAACTCAGGTTTCTGTTTTTTGTTTTACTCTTTGTAAGGGCTTTATATTTGTTTCCAATCATATTTGAGAAATGTTTTTCAAATTTTCTCCTACATTTTGGTATCATGGAAAAGATTTGTTAAATTTTGCAGCATTGAATGTATTTATATTCTTAAGAATAATAACAATGATCTATTTAACCAACCATATTTTAGTCACAGAGCTCTCTTAGCTTAAACCAAAACTCAATTAAACTTAGAAAGAAGGTTATTACTCCCCCTGAGGGAGTAATACTGTGGATCCCTTTTTTTTTTTTCACAGTTGTATTCGTCAAATTCGAGAGTTTCATACAAGTCAAATGAAAAGTTGATAGACATTGGAATCTACTAAGATTAAAAACACATTCATTCCATAGATATCTATTAAGTACATGTTTTTTTTTTTTCACAGTTGTATTCGTCAAATTCGAGAGTTTCATACAAGTCAAATGAAAAGTTGATAGACATTGGAATCTACTAAGATTAAAAACACATTCATTCCATAGATATCTATTAAGTACATGTAATATGCTTAGTACATATCAATACTTAACTATCAATGCTACAGTTAACTGATTTTCTTGCTTTAGAGATGTCGCTTAGTAGCAACAAAAAGTACCTCAAAGGAGAAGAAAAGTAAGAAAATGTTCTGCCACCAGGTGGTGATAAAAGATAACATTTACAATAGCATTTATTTAGTGAATGGATATTTGATGAAATGTTTGACTACACCAAATACAAGTGACTTGCCAATGTTATTATAAATGCAAATTTAAAATAGAATGTTTTATAATATAATATGAATTAATACACAAT